CACTGGGCTGGATTCTGGGAATAAGGCAGACACAGTCTCTGTCCAGATGTAATGAGGCTAATTAGCCAGGACTCAGCTCTGCAGAGAAGTGCAGGGCACAGTGTGTGCCGCTCTCAGGCTTTGTAAGGGAAAGAGCATGTGGTCTCATTCTGTCTGGTTGGGAAATATTTGCCAGAGGAGGTGGCTTTCAGCAGAGCAGGAAAGGAATAGTGTTCAATGCAGAGAGAGTAGCATCTTCAAAGTTTCAGGCAGGAGGGAGCATAGTATTTTTGGGGACCTGGAGAGGGTGTGGGGTTGGCTGTGGGGTCGGGTTTGGGTGGGGAGTGGCCGGAAGTAAGACTGCAGATAAGAGCTAGGCATAGGGTCCCCAGACTCAGAGGATGGGAAGGGGTTTTGACTTGATCCCTGGAGTACCAGGAAGCCATCAAGGGGTGCTAACCAGGCTGGTTGTGTGGGCGCACCTGTATTTGAACATGCAGTGGAATGTGCATGAGGGATGGGAGGCCGGCCTGGAGGCCAGAACACAGGCTCTGGAGGGAGGAGGTGTCGGGAAACCCCAGAGGGCTGTGTATCAGCTCCAGTCTCAGCTTCCAAAGGGTCACAGTTACATCACTTATTCCGAGCTCTGGGAGGGCCGAAGCTTCGCCACGTTTGCCCTGTGCCCTATCCTCGGTGCCTGAAACGTAGCAGGTGCCTGGGACGTAGGGGAAGTGTGACAGCCTGCTACCTAGAGCCCGCAGTGGCCCCCTAAAGCCTGTCCCATCCACTGCCATGGCTGCCACGGCCCTACTGAGCCCTGGGGCTTCCACTGTTCACAGCACATCTCAGCCCAGCCCTACTGCCTGTCAGAGCACTGCGGACACTGGCCCTGTGGGGACAGTAGCCTACCTCTGACCTTAGGAGTGCACTGGCTGCACAACCTGCATTCCCTGACACTGTGGCCTGGCTGCCAGCCACAGCCAGAGCTGCAGGACCTGAGGAATCCATCGTCAGCCACGATGCAGCCACTCGTCTGCAGCCAGATCCAGATCACTTGGGTTTTGATCTCAACTCTGTCGCCTCCAGGTTTTTACAGCATCACAGGAGTTTACCTCTAGGAGAATTTACTTGTTTCAGATGAAGAAATGAGGCTTAGCCTGGGGCCTCAGGAGCCCTTAAATGGGATTCTGACGGGGAATGGAGCCATCAGCTAAGTGCTTTGTGATTACAAGCAAGAAGGGTCTCCTCTTGACACCCCATGTGTGGGCTGGGCAAGCAGCCTGGAGGCCACTGGTGGCTCTGGGTTGTGAAGCCCACAGCTGGGACTTGGTGCCTTCCAGGTCCCTTTCCGTGGCATCCAGGAGCCCAAGGCAGCTGGAGGCTGGGAGGATGGTGTGCGGTAGCTGAACCACAGACAGCTGGAGGGGATGTTAGGACCTGCTGGGGCAGAAGACAGTTTCCATGCAGAAACAAGGGGCTGTTGGGCCACGGCACGGGCAGAGTGAGGGGTGTGCCTGACACCTTGGAGCAGCAGTGCACTGCTACTGGTACCAGGGAGGCCACGAAATGACCTCAGGTGTCAATTCTCACTGAGAGTAACAGGGACTGGGTAGGTGGTGTGGCCTGGAAGGGCTCCCAGCTCTCTCCATGGTTCTTTCTGCCCCAGAGCCAGGCATGCAGAGCAGGACGATGGCCACCCCGTACTATGGAAACCTGTGACATGGAATGTTCTGGAAGCATTGCACGAGACAAAGGGCAGAGTTCTGCTGGGGCGGCGGCCGGCCCAGGCTCCTGCACTGGAGCCCTCTCCGAGGCTGAGCCACTGTGCCTTTGGGCAGTGCACGCACTGGCAGCTCACAGAGCGTCTCTCCTGGACGGCCTCCCCTGAGCAACTGCTATTTCCCAGGGATGTGGAGGAGCCAGCCGAGCCACCCTAGCCCTGTGCCTCTGGGCACGCTGCTTGGCCTCACTGAGCCTCAGTTTCCCCAGAAGAGTGTCCTGAACAGCTGGTCACCTAACTCTGGGGCGCCGGTTGTGACTCTGGGTTGTTGGACTGACCAGTTTACACATCCAGTCGTGTGTGCAACCAGCAGCGTGAGCTGTGTGCCTGGGATGGAATCTGTATGACGGGGTGGCCGAACAGGGCTCGGAGAATCACCGAGCCTCAACTACCTGCTCATCCAGGCTCACAGACACGTGGTTTGCACAATCAGCGTCGCCTTCTGACTGTCTGGACCCACCTGCCTGTGCACACACTGACCTACAAGGGGGCAGTGGCCTTGGTCATTACAGATGCTTGTGTGCAGTCCTTTAAAAGTGATAGAAAACCAGAGCCCCCTCCACAGGAAATGATTCTAACTGTATGTTGTTTTGTTGAATCATTTAAAAGTGATAGTCCACAGTCCTAAATACTGCAGGATGCATCACCTAAATGTGGATGTTCCCATTCATCACCTCAGTAAACACCGTTAGAAATTAATAATGATTTTTTAATATGATCCAGTACCCAGGCTTTTTTAAAATATTTATTTATTTTGAGAAAGAGAGAGCAAAATGGGGAAGGGACAGAGAGAAGGAGAGAGAGAATCCCAAGCAGGCTCCATGCTGTCAGCACAGAGCCTGACCTGGAGCTCAAACCCACTAACCGTGGGATCATTTCATGAGATGAAATCATGAGTTGGTCGCATAACCAACTGAGCCACTCATGTGCCTCTAGTGCCGTGTTTTGTCAGACTTCCTTGAGTCGTCCTGAAACTATTTTTATAGCTTTAAAAGAAAAAGAAAACAGGGGCGCCTGGGTGGCTCAGTCGATTAAGCATCCGACTGCAGCTTAGGTCATATCTTGGGGTCTGTAGGTTTGAGCCCCATGTCCATCTCTGCTGACAGCTTGGAGCCTAGAGCCTGCTTCGATTCCGTTTCCCTTTCTCTCTGCCCCTCCCCAACTCACACTATCAAAAATAAATAAATGTTTAAAAAAAATTTTTTTAAAACAGGATTCAGTCAAGGTATTTGCATTTGCCTGTTACTTCTCTTCCATCTTTCTAAGTTCAGAACAGTTTTTTTTTTTTTTCATGACATTGACTTACTTAAAGGCTGGGCCAACTGTCCTGTGGAAGGTCCTATATTCTGAATTTATCTGATTGTTTCCCTGTACTGTGCTTTAGTTCATTTCTCTGTCCCTTGTCTTTTCCGTACTTTGGAAGCTAGCTCTGCGGGTTTTGTCAGATCCTTTCAGGTCAGACTTTTGGCAGGATTCTTCAAAGGGGATGTCGAGTGATCCATATGATGCCGTATTGGGAAGCCAGTGCCAGTCTGTGCCTCTATGAGTGATGCTGGGTTTGGTCACTGCTTGAGGTTATCATCAGGGCACATTGGGAGGTTGTCCACAGGGTGGGCCTTCAGCACTGTGGGACTTACCGTGTTCCCTAATACCTTTCTTGCTCGTAGCACCCACTGATAATGCAGGTTGGAACGTGGTGGTCTTTGGTTACCCCTGGACAGCTTCATGCATCTGGTACGTGGGTGGGCATTTTCATGCAGTGTCGGTGTGGCACATGGGTGCGACCACGGTCAGGTGTGGTGCACACGAGGAGCTATTGCCAAGCTCCCCGAGGTCCACTGTTTCCACAGCAAGCTGCAGCCGTAGGTCCCAGCCCCAAGGACAGCGCGTGCCGTCCACAGCAGTGCTAACAGTATTGGTGGCGCTTGGCCGATCACAGCACCCGCCGGCTTCCTCTTGGTGTGTGACCAGCAGTTCCCAGGGTCTGTGGCAACCTTGCTGACACCCCAGATACAGCCCAGACACAGCCCTGTGTGTGTTGTCTCACACCCATGACATCCCTCTAGGCCACAGTCCCTGAATCCGTGCTGTTTGTCGTCAGCAGCAGCAGAGTCCCTTATGTCTGCATGTACTCGCAGCCTATGAGGCACTCTTGTAATTATCGCATCGCATCCTGGGGGGACAAGACCTTAATCCCGTGTCATTTCTCTGGGGTTCGTCTCCAGCTCCTCCCAGCTCATCACCACAGGGCAGGGCCTCCCAGGACAGCAAGCTGTGACCCACTCTCCCCACACACAGTCAGTATAGCAGTGACTTGTCCATGCCTGCAGGTGCCTCGTTCCAGCCTTGTGGTGATCCATGTGCCCTGTGGGCCGGCTGTCTTCCCCAGCCTGTCCCTGTCCCTCACAGGCTGTAACTGGGTTACCGTGTCACTGTGGCTGGTGCGTCCGCACTTCCTCTCCTGCTCTGTTTGTGCTTTGAACTGTCACCATGTTTGGGAATCAAGGGTTCTGAGTTCTGTCCTCTACTCCCTCTGTGTCCTGTGTTGTCAGTAATTCTTTGACTCTACCCATGTAGAAATCTTAAGGTAAGTCTCACTGTGTCCATTTTATGGATGAATAAACCGAGGCTCAGATTACTTGAGAGGGGTCTCTGTTGTCACCCACAATCAGGGGCAGGAGGCCGTTGTTCATCAGCTATGCTGAGGCTCCTCCCCAGACAGGAGGTGGGCCTGGCCTCGTGGGTAGACAGGACCAGCATCCTCTCCAGCCACCTGAGGACTTCTCCCACATCGGTCTCCTGTGTCAGCGCCGCCAGGAATGGTTGTGCAGCCGGTGTACAGCTGAGAGCACCGTGCACATAGTAGACACCGCAGGTCTGTGTGTGTTATGATACACTTCCACCACGTAGTTAACATGCATCTTATTCTGTTGCACTCAGTACATCAGAGCACTTCCCCAACACTAAGAGAAGGAGGGGGTCTTAGGCCAGAGCGCTGCCCCAGCAGCACGGCCTGGGCTATAGGTGCTGTGCTCCCTGGCCATCCAGAGTGCCCTCTCTGGGCCTCCCTTTCCTTATGTGCATGATGAGGGGCTGACCTAGAGGGTGGTGAAGTCCTCTTACTCATATACTATGGGCACTGGTAAGCATCTGCTGACTGACCTAGAGCTGCCAGGGCTGTGTGAGCTGCCACTCTGCACCCCAGCCCCACCTGCTCTTGACACCATGTCTGGTCCCCAAGGTGAAGAAGTCCCCGTGAACTGAGGACGCCATGGCCACGTCGGCCCCGCTGCGCAGCCTGGAGGAGGAGGTGACCTGCTCCATCTGCCTGGACTACCTGCGGGACCCAGTGACCATCGACTGCGGCCATGTGTTCTGCCGCGTCTGCACCAGTGACGTGCGCCCGGCTCCGGGCGGCCGGCCCGTCTGTCCGCTCTGCAAGAAGCCCTTCAGGAAAGAGAATATCCGGCCCGTGTGGCAGCTGGCTAGCCTGGTGGAGAACATCGAGCGGCTGCAGGTGGACAAGGACAGGCAGCCAGGAGACGTGGCCCGGGAGCAGGCGGACGGCAGGCTGTGCGAGCGGCACCGCGAAAAGCTGCACTATTACTGCCAGGACGACGGCAAGCTTCTGTGTGTCATGTGCCGCGAGTCTCGGGAGCACCGGCCCCACTCGGCCGTCCTCGTGGAGAAGGCTGCCCAGCCCCACAGGGTGAGCCCTCCACACCTCTCTCCCCACGCTCCCTGCACCACCCACACCTCCCCCCTCCCCAGTCCGGAGCACCCACTTTCCCACCACCTGTCTCCTCGCAGGAGAAGATCCTGAACCACCTGAGCACCCTCAGGAGAGACAGAGACAAGATCCAGGGTCTGCAGGCGAAGGGAGAGGCCGACATCCTCACTGCGCTGGTGAGTAAGGCTGACAACACAGAGCCGGAGGCAGCTGGCTGTGCACAGGAGGAGCTGGGAGGCTGAGCAGGAGAGGCCAAAGTGGAGGCTGATGGAGGAGGCTCCACCAGGAGGCTCACTAGTAAGGGCTCTGCGGGGAGGCTGAGCAGGGGGTGCCGTTGGGCTGGTGCCCTCATCTGCTGCCGGAGTGGCCTCGTGTGAGCTCAGGTCCCTTCTCCAGTGTGACTCACCGTAGCTGTGGGCCCTGTCTGGCAGCTGCTGCTGTTGTGCTAGGAATGGCCAGAGTGTAGGGAGTCAAGGAGGCCCTGCCTGAGTCATTCCTGTGTGTGTAGTGGGGGGGGAAGACCAGATTCCAGAGGTGGAGGGGAGCCAGAGGGTGTGGGATGAGGGAGGGAGGCCGGGGACGGCCCGAGCGGCTCTGAGGACACTGTGTGCTGAGTCCTGCACCAGGACCGCCCGCATCAGAAGGCAGAGGCAGCACAGTGCGTGCTTCATTAGAGACAGGTCAGGAGGATGTGCTCCAGGTTCCTGGGGGAGCGTCGGTGTCAGGGAACTGCGTGTTGCAGAGATGTGGGGGCCCCACAGCAAATGAGGGGACCCTGGGTGAGGAGGGGAGTGAGGCAGGAGCTGGCCCAGGTCCAAGGTGCCCCTGTCCCTCACTGGGCATGGACGGCAGTCAACAGAGGCTCTGGACTCTGGCCAGACCCCAGGCTGCACTGAGCAGGGAGATTCGGAAGCAGGAAGGGACATGGTCCCTGAACACAGACACTCCACGGTCTCACTGAGGGAATAGGGTACAGCCCAATGAGGCAGGCCTCAGGCTCATGTTTTATACACCAGACCTATGAGGAGGGCCCTGCATGGGGGCAGGAGCAGAGCCTGAGGGGTTCTCCACCCCACAGCAGAGGAGTCACCCCTTCTCCCCTTCCCACGCCCGCAGAAGAAGCTCCAGGACCAGAGACAGGACATCGTGGCTGAGTTTGAGCAGAGCCACCAGTTCCTGAGGGAGCGGGAGCGGCACCTGCTGGACCAGCTGGCGAAACTGGAGCAGGAGCTGACGGAGGGCAGAGAGAAGTACAAGACCAAGGGCGTGGCGGAGCTGGCCCGGCTGGCACTGCTCATCTCTGAGCTGGAGGGCAAGGCCCAGCAGCCAGCAGCAGAGCTCATGCAGGTGAGCGACCTCCCCAGGGCAGGGCAGGAGGCAGGGTTGTTAGGTCTGCGCCCCACCCCTCACCTGCAGGACCTGGGGACACTCACCACTAGGTCTGTGCCTCACCCCCCACCTTCAGGATCTGGGACACTCACCACTAGGTCTGTGCCCCACCCCTCACCTGCAGGACCTGGGACACTCACCACTAGGTCTGTGCCCCACCCCTCACCTGCAGGACCTGGGACACTCACCACTAGGTCTGTGCCCCACCCCTCACCTGCAGGACCTGGGACATCTAATGCCTCTCAGGCCTGGATTTTCTCTCCAGCATCGTGAGCAGGATAACCCTTTCCTGCCCCGGGTATCCCAGCAATCATGTGAGTGTAACATGACATGACTGGCATGCGCTCACTTCAAAAAGCCAATTTTCTACCAAAAACGTTTAAGAAATTTAGAAAATGCTATGGAAGTGGAAGAGAAGGTCATTGCTCTTTCCATTACTGCTCCTGTCCTCAACTCTACCATTCACACGTCCGCCTGGTAGCCAGTCACTGGCAGATGCCTTCCAGTGGGGGCTGATTCTTGTGGTTCCGGAACAGAGGCAGCCTGGGTGGGGGGTTGAGCATGAGCTGAATGGCAGCTTCTCTCAGGGACCTGAGGGACGAGAGGAGATGGGCAGCTGGGGAAGGAGACCGAGATGGGTGAGGTTTTTTCTGGGATGAGGAATTACCCCCAGAGAAAAAGTGAGAGCAGCAGGGAGCCTCTGGAGCACTTCATGGAGGAGGCAGCTTGGATGCTGGGGGGGTTGGGGGGGAGGTCTTAACCTCAAATGACCCTGGGACTCTCTGCTCCTGAGCCTCTCTGAGTAGCCATGCCTCCCTGATCAGGGCTCAGCAGCCTCTCGAGGGGTGTGCTTGACCTCCCACCCGCCTCCCAGAGTCAGGAGGAGGCCTGGGATGGTGTCGGCTTGCATGGAGCGCGGCTGGACCTGTGTGTCAGCGGGGGAGCCCCCAGGGTCTCGTCCAGGAAGGCGCTGTCTGTTAGGGCCAGTGGCCTCAGGGAGAGACAGTAGGCAGGCCCTCCAGGTGCAGGAAGAGGTGGCCTTGGCCAGCCTCTGCACTGCTGCGGATTCCGGCCCATGAATCTGGACCCGCTGCCCTGTGCCCACATGCTGGCACACCTGCTGGCCACGTGGGCTCAGATACGTGGCCCCTCTGAGCTGGCCGTGGTTTACGTGTCTGGAGGGACAGATTAGAAGGATTTGCTGGACACTCACAGTTAGTCTCTGGGAGAGCGCTTTGAGGGCGGGGCCTGGTCTCCACTGCCTGCTGTCCGTGACCCCTGTCTGTGTCCTCCACCCTGCGCCAACCCCTCTGCCCCAGCCCTGCAGGACCGGGGCATTAGTGCAGCTGCAGTGTCAGACCCCAGCATCCTGGCTCAGAGACAACACTTGCCCTTCTTCCAGGAACGGGGTGGCCAACGGTGAGGTTATCCCGGAGGCTGGGCGCCTCTACCTGCTGCTTGCACCTACTTCAAGGGGTGTGGGCCTCAGCCAGGACAGGACCCCCAAATTCCCTGACTGCTTCCTTTCACATCCCATTGGCTGCACTCAGTCACATGACTGGGCCTGCCCACAAAGTCATCTGGGAAGCATAGTTCTTTGCTGGCTGTCTGGCTGCCCACTGTGACCCCAGGACTTCTGCTCTTCAGAGGAAGAAGGGGAGGGGCCCCTGGGTGGCTCATTCCCGTAAGCGTCCAACTTCAGCTCAGGTCATGATCTCGAGGTCTGTGAGTTCGAGCCCCACACTGGGCTCTGTGCTGATGGCTCAGAGTCTGGAGCCTGCTTTGGAGTCTGAGTCCATTTCTCTCTGTCCCTCTCCTGCTCATACTCTGTCTCAAAAATAAATAAACATATAAAACATTTTTTAAAAGCAAAGATAGAAGGGGGGAGGGCTCACAAACATCATGAGCCACAACCTCTTGACCCACAGCTGCCACTGGGTGCCAGCGCTGTGGGGAAGGGACTGTGGGTGGACACCCCTGGCTCCCAGCAGCACCCTGTGACCTGTGACCTATGAGTGGGGTCTGATCCGACTCTCACTGATGCCGTGCTTTCTCCTTCCAGGACAGCAGGGACTTCCTGAACAGGTAAGAGAGCGCCCCGTGTCCCCCCCACCTCCCCTGCCCCCTCACCTCGCTCCTTTCACTGACCTGACCCGTTTGAGTTGATGGTGTCTGTGTCCCACTGGTCACCCGCCACCTTCCCAGCTGGGGAGCAAGAGCACATCCTGGAGAAGTGCAGGCTTGCGGGTTCTGTGTCACCCCAGCCGTGCTGGGTGAAGACAGGACAGGTGACCGTGAGGGGGGAGGGGGAGGGGACAAGGCCCAGGGCACAGCGGCACCCATGTCCAGTCTGCAGGTGGTCTAAGTCCTGGCTCAGCTGCAAGCAGTTCCCTCTGCTTCTGAGTCCCTGGTTTTCTGTCATTTGAGTGGGGGTGGCCATACCTGTCTTTCCCACTTCACAAATGTGAGAATCGAAAGAAACGCAGGGGGACCTTAGTAACAGGGTCCCTGTGTCATTTCCCAGGTATCCACGGAAGAAGTTCTGGATTGGGAAACCCATCGCTCGAGTGGTGAAAAAGAAGACGGGAGAATTCTCCGACAAAGTGCAGTCTCTGCAGCGAGGACTAAGAGAGTTCCAAGGTGAGGGCCAGGTGGGGGTCAGGCTGGGTGGGGTGTTGGGAGCCGGGCTGCACATTGTGGTTGGGGGTCGGGGGCCACCCTGGGAAGTCACTGGGGTGGGGATCAGGAGCCAGGCAGGGAGGGCATTGGGGTGAGGGGTCAGGAGCCAGGCAGGGGAGTGCATTGGGGTGGGGGGTTGGGAGCTGGGCTGGGCATTGGGGTGGGAGTCAGAATTCTCTAGCTGGGAATCAAGTCAGGAGTCGGGCAGGGAGTGCATTGGGGTGGGGATTGGGAGCCATGCTGGGAGGGTATTGGGGTGGGGATTTAGGAGCTAGGCTGGGCATTGGGGTGGGACTTAGGAGCCTGGAGTTGGGATTCCAGTCAGGAGCTGGACAGGGAGTGCACTGGGGTTGGAGGTTGGGAACCAGGCTGGGCACTGCGGTAGGGCGTCCAGAGCTGGGCGGGAAGGACACTGAGTTGGGAATGTGGAGCTGGGCAGTGGTGGGCATTGGGGTTGGGGAGTCTAGAGCCGGTCAGGAGAGGGCATTGGGGTGGGGGGTCGGGAGCCAAGCAGGGAGGGCATGGGGTATGAGCCAGGAGGGGCAGGGAGGGCATGGGGTGAGGCCAGGAGCCAGGAGTGAGTCAGGATCCACTTGGGAGCGGGGGCTCCCTTTGGAGGAGTGGAACCAGCTCCTTGCTGTCATCTTCTGGGGCCTCGCTCCTGGGTCTGCTGGTTGTTTTCTCTCTTCTCCGTGGGGTCTCAGGCATGGGCCTTGTCAGGAAGTTACTCCTGTCCAAGTAGGACACGGGCCCCTAGTGTGCGGGGCTCTAGGGTCACTGCTGTCTTTTTCGTCTGCAGGGAAGCTGCTGAGAGACCTGGAATACAAGACGGGTGAGTGTGTAGGGCAGCGACCAGCCCCTCCTGTAGAGAAGCAGGATGTCCCCCCTCCAGAGACACGCACTGTTCCCTCCGCCCCGTCCCTCCCTGTGCAGCGAGATTTCCCAGCGGCTGGTCTGTAGCCCCCACACTGGGTCTGTCATCGGCAGCAGAGGCCTGTATCGATGGTCTGAGCCTCCTCTGCACAACATCTCACCTCCAGAGGCAGTCTGTGCCCCAGGCCCTGCCGTCGGGTCCTGCCCCGCATGCTCCTGAGGGCTCGTCCACAGGGACTGAGCTGGGATTGCCCCCCCCCCTGCCCCGGGCCTATTCAGCGGGGCAGCTCTGGAGACCCGCCCCCGCCCTCCAGTGACACCTGGCTCCGCTGTCCCCGCAGTGAGTGTCACCTTGGACCCGCAGTCGGCCAGCGGGTACCTGCAGCTGTCAGAGGACTGGAAGTGTGTGACCTACAGCGGCCTGTACCAGAGCACGTACCTGCACCCGCATCAGTTTGACTGTGAGCCGGGTGTGCTGGGCAGTAAGGGCTTCACCTGGGGCAAGGTGTACTGGGAGGTGGAGGTGGACAGGGAGGGCTGGTCTGAGGAGGAGGAGGAGGGGGATGAGGAGGAGGGGGATGAAGAGGAGGAGGAGGAGGAGGAGGAGGCTGGCTACGGGGACGGGTACGAAGACTGGGAGACAGATGAGGATGAGGAGTCTTTGGGGGAGGAGGAGGAAGAGGAGGAGGAAGAGGAGGAGGAGGTCCTAGAAAGCTGCATGGTGGGGGTGGCCAGAGACTCTGTGAAGAGGAAGGGAGACGTCTCCCTGCGGCCGGAGGATGGAGTATGGGCCCTGCGCCTCTCCTCTGCGGGCATCTGGGCCAATACTGACCCTGAGGCTGAGCTCTTCCCTGCACTGCGGCCACGGAGGGTGGGCATCGCCCTGGACTACGAAGGGGGCACTGTGACCTTCACCAACGCCGAGTCACAAGAGCTCATATACACGTTCACGGCCACGTTCACACGGCGCCTGGTGCCCTTCCTGTGGCTCAAGTGGCCCGGGACACGTCTCCTGCTGAGACCTTGAGCCCTGCACCCGCCGGCCTGCGTGACCCCCGACACCCACCAACGCCCTCCTCCTCTGGGAACCCTGGACTGTGCCGGGGACCTGGTGTCTGGCAATTGCACCTGGAGCAGGTGGGCCCCACGCCCCCTGTGGCCGTGGTGCCTGGAGGCTCACTCAGTGCTGCTGCTGCACCAGACAGCTGTAGTCAGGCTCTTTCCTCAGCCCCCAGGGCTCCCCGTGCACATTTCTGAACTGAAGGCCACAGGGGCCCCTCTTCTTCCCACCACCTTTGACCCAGCTCAGCACCTTCCATGCTGATTTAGAGAAGAAACAATGTTTTGCTGCCCTGTCTGGCATCCCTCACTGGCTGCTCTGGCAAGAGCAGGTGACTGTGACGCCCAAGCCACGTGCCGTCCTGCTTGCCCAGACCCTTTCTGCTGCCTGCATTCCCCAGCACTTGAGACAGCCCACTGGCCCCAACTCAGCGTCTCACACCCCCCCCGCACGCCCGTGAGTGGACACGGCACCCACCCGCGGTCTCCCGGGCTGCGTAGAGAGGCCTCCTGGAGCGCCGCGGCGCGGGCGTCGGCGTGGGCTCCGCGCTTCTCCGGGGGAGGGCTGAGTGCTGACAGGTCTGCCCTGAAGGAGGCCCGGCGCCCTGGACCCACCTGCGGACTTGGGGAAAGGACCCGCGTGCTGTGGCTTTGGTTCACCGCTTGTGACCCGCGGCCAGTGCGGCCCGTGGGTGTGGCCTCAGGAGGGAGATTGTCCAGGGAATCCAGAATGTCCCGCTCTTGACCCGTCCCCAGAAAACACCAGAAAACAACTATCTGGTCCAGCCAAACCTGGAGTCCGGTCCCTGCCCTGGACGCCGGGGCAAGTCTGCGGCGGCGCACGACTCACACGCACAGCCCGTTCTTCTAGGGGAAGGGCAGTGGGCACAGGAGAGGGAGACAGGACTCCCCGAGGTCGCCGGGTCCTCGGGCCAGGAGAAGGGAACCGTCCGGCCTCCGTCCCCGTCCCAGCCTGTGTCCAGGGCCCTGTCGAGCCCGTCCCCAGCCCGTCAGCAGAGCCTGCCCCAGAGACCACTGGCCTCCACACTGTGTGGGACTTGCCTCCTGCATGTGTCCCGTGCTGCCGGTCACACGTTCGCCTGTTCCCGCCTCCAGTTTTATAAGGAGGGTGTCCCCTCTGCTTCCCTGCGGCATCGGCTGCAGTGTGGGCACACAGGTGCTTAATAAAACCTTGATGAATGAGCAGCCTGGGCTTACACACATTTTATGAGAACTCAGATAGCCCCAGACCTTCTTGGTCTGGCTCCAGACAGGTTCCGCGGACAGAGTGGTCCCAGGCTTTGCTCCCGCGCCCCTTCTGGGACACGTACCTGCATCTCTGCTCACCATTCTCTGTTTGCTCACACACTCTTTGCACATACACTGTCACCTGTTTGCACACACATTCTTTGCTCACATGCTGTTTGCTTGCATACTGCTCACACGCTGTCGTCTGTTTGCACACGTTCTTTGCTCACATGCTATTTGCACAAACGCTGTTTGCTCACACACTGCACACATGCAGTTTGCTCATGCTGTTTGCTCACATACTGTTTACACACATGCTGTTTGTTAACACACTGTGATCACACCGCTCCCACACTGTTTGCTGACCTGCTGTTTGTTCACAAGCTGTCTGCACACACACTGTTTGCTCTCATGCTGTTTGCTCACACACTGCTTGCTCACACAGTTTGCACACGTGCTGTCATTTCTACACCCCCAGACCCCAGACAAGAGCCGCTTTGCCTCCTCTCCTGCAGGGCCAGCCCTTGCTTGAGCCCCAGCATCCGCAGAACGCGTGACGGGGCCATGAGAAGGTGACATTGGTGGCACTCCCAGAATCTTTCCTTGGAAGACAAGCGGTGCCCAAAGGAAATAGAGCAGAGACTCTGTCCTGCCGTGCAACACATTCAACTGTCTGGTTCTGGCCTCTTTCTGATTTTTTTAAATTGCCATCTTAAAGGTAGAAAAGGAAGAATGGGATAAAGCCCCTTCAAGATCTCATTTAGGACTTGTTTAGGTTCTCCCTTTTTATTTTATTTGTTCTTTTTACTTTTCTTTCCAAATACACATTTGCAAAATGTGTCAATTATAGAAATACAATGCGCATGATCAATTATAACAAAGTCATTAAATATGCTTTTGAATCCTGAGAGACAATAATCACCAGCATATTCTTGAAATTCTTGAAAATTTATTTTGTTGATTGATGTGAGTTGTTCCCTAAAATTATACTCTACTAATCTTTTATTTATGGAAAATTCTCAAAATGCCTTTTCTCCTCTCTTGCAAAGAAGTTTTATATAATGAGATTTCTGAAATGTTTTCAGGTGATCATTGTGTAATTGAAAGCTCATAGTTATTAAATAGGGAACATTGCCATTTGAACAAAATATGAATGCTTTCAGGTCATTATTGCTCCACCGAGTTTCAGAGGGTCCTACTTCCAGAATAATCTGTAGACGAGCAAGTGTCAGCAGAAATTGGCCTTGCAAAGTCATAAACAAAACCGCGTACTGGGTGACACCATCTTAGTACAGAAAGTTGCCAGCAGGGTCCTGACTGAGCAAGTAAGTTCCTTTGAACGCTTTTATTTTGTAAGAAGTATTTTCCCGTGAGCTGCAGCTACACGTATGGTCCGATCTACCTGCCGTGTTTACCACGAAGGAGCAAAGAAGAGCCCCTGTCCTCCCATCCCCCACGGCAGGCGGCGGGTGGGGGGCTAGCTGTGTCCCCACCTGCCCTGAGCTGGGGCAGCTGAGCTCCTGGGGTGTGTGAAAGCAGTTTCCGGCGGGACCACTGGCAAACTGTGGCCGCTCTTCCTTCCTGCGCAGCTTAGTCTTCCCTGGAGTGAGGGATTGCCCTTTTGTGCCCTTGTGCCTCATCTGCTGCGTCCTTGTTACTAACTGAACCCCGGAGCCTTGGCCGGCAGTCCCGATCTCAGCAAGCTCACTCACCAGGTTCTCTTCTTAGTCCTGTCTCCGCAGCCTCCTGACCTTCAGTCTGGACAGCTGCCCCTCCCCTGGCCCCTCCATGCCCCTCCCATGCCTTTCCCAGGCCCCCCAATGCCCCTCCCCACCCGTGTCACTCCCCTGCCTCTCCCTAGCCACCCCTACGCCCCTCCCCTGTGCACAGGTTCCATCCTGGGAACCTGGACTTGGGTTTCTGGGGTTTTATCCTATTTTTCCCTCTTCTTCATTTACTTCCTTCTGGTGAAACATCGCCCACTAGCTTCCTGAGAAATGGGGCATGTAAGCCGAGTTTTTGAGTTTGTAAACATCTGGATGTATCTCTCCAACCTTCCCCCACCACGGTGCTAATTAACTCAGTGGACCCTGACATTCTAGAAATTCATAAGCTTTCAGTTCTGGGAAACGTTACTGAATTACTTCTTGACGGTTTTTCTCTGCTTTGGTTTCTCTGTTCTCTCAAATCTATTCTTAGCTGCCTTCGTATAGCTCCTGAATTTGTTTATTGAGAACCTGTGATAAGCCAAGATGTTTCTGCGATACAGCAGCAATAAGGTAAACAAAGCCCCCGCAGGCATGGAGTTCATATTCTAGTGGAGGGTGACAGGCAATGAATGAAAATAAAAATAGAATAGTAATTAGCACCTTGCAGAGACCTAAGAGAGGACGATGATGTGTAGTAAGCTGGATGGTCAGAAAGGGCCTCTCTGAGAAGGTGGCCTGGAAGCTAAAATCCAAATTCTGAGAATGAATTCTAGAATGGCAGCAGCCAGAGTCACAAGGCAGAGACGAGCTGTGGACAGAAAGATGGTGTGTCTGGAGTGTGGTATTGGAGGGCAGGCAGAGGTCAGCAGAGGTGAATCATGTTGGCCTTGTGGACCATGTGAGAGTGAAGTCTACCCTGCGCTGACCCCTGGGGTGAGGGTGAAGTCAGCACTGGGGAGGGGCCGTGCTGACCCCGGGGTTGCCCCAGCACCTGTCCGAGGGCCAGGCAGAGGAAGGGAGGCAGCCAGCCAGATGGCAAGGGGCCCTGCGAAGCCGCAGGGGGCACGGGGGAGAGGTTAGCGAGGGAGTGGGCGCTGTGCTGTGTCAGACGCAGCCGGGGCCCTGGAAAGGTGGAAGACGACACAGAGAACAACGTGTTGAACACCTGGGGCTGGAACCGGGTACTGAGAACCAGGCGGAGGGATGTGCGCCTCCCAGACACTCTGTCCACCTGTCTGTGCCCCCAGGGATGGCCACTATGCAGCGCACGAACCAGGCTCTCATGCCTCTGGCTTCTTCGTGGGTTTAGCCAGGGCGGGGTTGAGGGGGGACCTGCGGGGATCAGAGAGTAGGTGACGAGAGAGGGCAGTGTCCAGCGCCGTGCCCTCAGTGGCCTCCCCCTTCCAGCTCCAGGCCTGGGAGTTCATGCCACGGACCCTTGTCAGTTTGCCCGAACCCTGCACATCTTTGTAAGTGACGGCTGTGAGCTCTGATCTGGACGGTCCAGCGCCTGATGGCCGCGGCCACAGCTGGCATCTCGAATGCAGCCAGCCCTGGGGGAGGCCGTGAGCCCAGCCACCAGCACAGCTGCTCACCTTTGACCCCCAGAACCTGGGATAGTGCATGGCTGTCGCCTTCAGCTGCTAAGTTTGGGGGCGACATGCTGTTATGCAGCCACAGCCAACTAATACAAGTGTGGCAGCTGCATCATACATTTTCGGCGCTTGCATTATCTTTCAGTTTTAATATTTAAAAACTTTCATTATGATTTCAGATTTGGTCCGTAACTAGTTTAGGAGGGTGTTTTTAACGTATACACTTTTGTAAAAGTAGAGCCTTTTAAAATTAACTTTACTTTCTGATTTTTAGTTTTGTCACACCATGGTGAGAGATCAGTGCGTGAGTGGCAAGATGGGAATCACTGAGACTCTGTTTTACGAAAAGAGCTCTGCCAGCAGTGACTTTATTAAGCCGTTGTGCAGGGTCGGGGTGCGGACAGGCAGGTTTTAAAGTGCTTCGGATTAATAAATAAACCTTTCAGCGTGTATACTTTTAGAAACCATGATTATTCAGATATTATTACCTGAGCAATTATTACCCGGCGAGAAAAGCATGGAATAAAGCCGTCAGTGTACAGACTAAAAGTTCCGCCGGGCTCTACAGACGGCAGCCATAATGCTCCCGGCCTGGCGTGGCGGAGCACGTTACCGCCAACGTTGGCAAGAACGGCTCTGACAGCAGAGCGCAGAGCGAGTGGTCGGGGTCAGAGGCTTCCCTGCAGCCCCACACCCTGAACGTGGGGCTGCAGTGGACAGAACAAGCAAGAGAGGCCCCCACCCCCGGGCCTTTCTGGGGTCTCGCAGCAGCAGCAGCAGCAGCAGCAGCAGCAGCAGCAGCAGCAGCAGCAGCTGTGATTTACCAGGGTTCGCATCCCCAGGCCCTGGCCCAGGATCCACGGGTTAGGAGCAGGGGACAGGCAGAAAGACAAAGGTAGAGCTGAGACATGGGAGACAGTTTGACACAAATAGACTGGGGGCGGTGGGGGGGGCGGGGCATGCAATGTTTTGTTCTGAAGATACTGATGCCTGGCTTTTGTACCTATGTCCTGGTCACTTTTTTCCTAATGTTCCATGAATGTTCAAAAAGACTGTGTTTCCTGTTAGGTCTATGGTTCTATGATGATCATTAGATGAACCTTATTTTTGTTATTCAAGTACACTATTTTTATTAGGAAAGTCTCATTTTGTGATTCAAATATTCTCTATCCTTACAATTTTTTTGTCTTTGAGGGTCACTGACTGAAAGAAATGTGTTTTAAAATCTGCCATTAAGTTCTTTTTGTAACTGACCATGAATTGTTAGGTGTGTTAGAGCTTAGAATCATTAGTTTCCAGATAAACTGTTTCTTTTACCAGAATGTAGTGTCCCTGTTTCTTGCACCAAATAATACTTCTCGCATCAAAGTATGTTTTCTCTGATAGTAATACAGTTACATCAACTTCCCTGTCACTGTCACTGCCCAATATATTGTTTAAAAAATTTTTTTAGTATTTATTCATTTTTGAGAGAGAGATAGAGTGCAAGTGAGGTGTGGGCAGACAGAGGGGACACAGAATCCAAAGCAGGCTCCAGGCTCTGAGCTGTCAGCACAGAGCCCAACGTGGGGCTTGAACCCACCAGCGGTAAGATCATGACCTGAGCCGAAGTTGGATGCTTAACTGACTGAGCCACCCAGGCGCCCCCCAGTATATTATTTTTAATCTTTTTAAAAAAATCTTTGTTGAGTTTATTAAGTTTTCTTTATTCCATTGTTTCTCCTCTCCTGGTTTGGAAGTTACATATTTTCTTTCTCTTTATCCATAAAATTTTACGTGCATGCTTGAATTAACAAAAAATAAAGTGTATCAGTGTCCGTCTGTCCTTCCAACAATAGAAGACCTTGGAAAGTTTTAACTCAGATCACGCCTTCATCTGCATGATGCTATTATTCATAGCTCTGTCTCACATCTGTGTTGTTTCCAGTCTCGCACCATGAGAACAGTGCTGCTAAGTGGGTGCCTGACCCTGGCTCAGGTCATGAGTTCGAGCCCTGCGGGTGAGCTGGAGCCCCATTTCTGGTAAAACAGGAAACCTGTGTGAGCCCCACTTCTCTCTCTGTCTCTCTCTCTCTCTGCCCCTCCTTCTCTCTCTCTCTGCCCCTTGTGAGACTCCTCTCTCTCCCCCTCTTCTCTCTCTCTCTACCCCTCACTCACTTATGCCCTCTCTTTCTCTCTCAAGACAAAACAGATGAAGAAACAAAAAAGGGCGCCTGGGTGACTCAGTCAGTTAAGAGTCCCACTTCAGCTCAGGTCATGATCTCACAGTTCATGGGTTCGAGCCCTACGTGGGGCTCTGTACTAACAGTTTGGAGCCTGGGGCCTGCTTCAGATTCTGTGCCTCCCTCCCTCTGTCCCTCCCCTGCCCATGCTCTGTCTCTCTCTCAAAAATAAAAATAAAATAAAAATTTAAAAACCCACTGCTGCTAAGTATATTTCTGCATCCCTCCTGATGTATATATATGCAAGGGTTTGTCTGCATATACACATAAGTGAAATTTGGGCCATAACGTGGTATGTTTTCTGTTCTACCAGTTAATGCCAAGCTGTTTTTGAAAGTGGTTGTATTAATTCACACCCTGCTGGTGGTGTCTGAACTTCCTCACTGCTCTTCATGTTTGGTAACGTCAGCCCTGGAAACCTGTGCCCAGCCGGCAGATGTAACAGAATCTCACTGTGGTTGTAATTTGCATTTCCTGGGTTGCTAAAGAGGGTGGCTTTGGGTTTCCTCTCTGGGTACTGCGTGCTCACATCTTTCGTATTTTTCTCTGTGGTGTTCTTGCATCTTGATATGCAGTTTTAGATACTCTGGATTCCAGTCTTTTGTTCAAGTATGGTCAGTGTCTTTTCCTAGTTTGTGCCTGACCTCTTCACTCTCATTTGATGTCATTTCAGAAGTTCTTAACTTAAATGCTGGGGAACTGATAGATCTATACCTTTGTGGTTAGTGCTTTGTTCATTTATTTACTTATTAGTCTTACTTAAGAGATCTTCCCTTACCCCAAGGTCATGGAGATATTCTTCTATCTTACCTTCTAAACATTTTACAGCATTTCCCTCACACTTTGATGTGTAACTTACCTGAAAACAGTCAGTGCACTCTTTAGTTTGATATGCCTCCAAGGAGTCCCTATTATTGCTGGTCCATAGAATTAATGTTTATGTTTGCTCACCTGTTTGCCAGTTCTGAGCTGCCACACAACAATGTGTCAGCAGCAGCATTGCTGAGTCTTACAGTGAGCCAGGCAGTGCGCCCAGCACTTTCACATGTTGTGAGATAGTAGGACACATATATATAGGTCTCTGCCCCCAGTTCCTGGCCCGGAGCTCCTAAAACCCTTGTAAGTTTCTAATGCTAAGAGCATCAGGAGCACCTCTTGTTCTGATGAGGGGACTCTGGGTGGGCTTCCGGATGGGGGCTGGTCCCCAGAAAAGTCAAACCACAATTAGAAGCTTGGAATCCTCAACCCTCTCCCCCACTCTCCAGAAAGGGAAGAGGGGCTGGAAGTGGAGTTAATATCCGTCTTGCCCACCTGAGGAAGCCTCCATAAAACCCCAATAGTACAGGGTTGAGAGAGCTTCTAGGTTGGTGAACACACCCACAGCTGGAGGGTGATGCACCCCAAGTCCATGGGGACAGAAGCTTCCATGCTCGGACCCCCATGCATTCCCTGTGTCTGTTCATCTGGCTGTTCATCTGCACCCTTTATCATTCCTTAAAATAAGGACAGATACGAACAGAGTCAATGTTTCTCTGAGTTCTGCGAGTCACTCTAGCAAATTAATAGAACCCAAGGAGCTAGTCAGTCAGAAACCACAGGTGATAATCTCAGCATCTGCAGGGGGGGGGGACAGTCTTATGAGACTGAACCCTCCCCTAACCTATGGGATCTGATGCTGTCTCCAGGTGGAGAGCATCAGAATTAAGTTAAATTATAGGACACCCAGCAGTTGTCACAGAGAATTGTTTGATGCGGGGAGAATTCACATACCTTGTGACCAGAAGTGAGTGTGTTACATGTGAGTGGGACGGAGACTCACAGTAGGGAAAATCTGCATGTTTCTCTCCATAGAAGGGGAAAAAATCTGTGTTTCTCATTGCACATGTATTGTCTCATTCCCTCCTTATAACAATCCTAAGATGGGCATTTGCTCCCAGTTTTCAGACAAGGAGACTAGAAGTTTAGGGAGATTAAGCAAACCTCCCTAAACTCACACAAGTAAAACGGGAGTCAGGATTTGAACCAGGGTCTCCCTGTTTCAAGAGCCCATGGTTTCCACTGAACACAATGGTATGAGGTCATTGCTTTGCCAGGACCTGGGAGAGAATGCTTGAACTTGCTCCCCAGTCCTATGAGAAGCGAGGTGATGCTTTACAGGGTAGAAGCCCACTCCTCAGGCCCTCAAGTGCACAGCTCCATGAGGATAGGCATTAAGACTCACAAATGGGAGGGATCCTATAGTTCTTAGTCCCTGGGCTGATGGGATGATCCATTCCGGAGGCTGAATCATCATCAAGCAAGACCTCATTTCCCCAGGGCAGGAACCTTGGTTTGTATGCATATTCACTGTCCCTTCTGCATGGTTCTTGGGGGCACCCAGCCACTCTCAGGGTCTTTAAACAAAGAGACTTCTGTGACCAGATGATTCTGGTGGCAATGGCTTTATTGTCATGAGGATAATTAGCTCTGTGTCCTCGTTCTAAAGGGGGTGGGAAGGAGAGAATATACAAAACTAATACTCACTGGTGAAGGCCACATAGTCCCAGATCGAAGGTAGTGTACACAGCGGCTCCCACTATAATGTTTTTGTTCTGTGGGTTTGAGTACATGTTTTTAATTCCCTGTTCTGACTCTCAGTCAATGAAGCTGCACTACTCTTTCAATTCGGGACACACCAGCCCCAGAGACACAGGAAAGCTGGGCATGACCAGCCCCGGCCCCACTCCCCCCTTCTTCCATGGGGCTATGAGTTCTGCTACCTGGTTCTCTCCGTCTGGAGTGTTGCGTGGACTTACTTAGCCCAGATCTTTCACTTTGACCACAGACTTTTCAGTTACATGTGAGAAAAAGAATGGAGATTGCCCTGCTCCTAAATAGGTCCTTTTTGGTATACATTTAAAGGGTTCACACCAGTTTGACCCTGACTCTGAAAACCACTCACTGAGCCTCCTGCCAGGGTCTCAGTCTAGGAGAATTTGTCCCAAGTCCAAACACAAGCATTAAATGCTTATTAAATGCCAAACATAATACCAAGCCCATTACATGTTGTGATATTGTGATTCAGTCAGATGACCAAAATATAGTTCTCATATATATTTGGTCTTTGTCCACAGTTCCTGGCTCACAGCTCCCAAAACCTTGGAATTTCCTGAGCCATGTTTTGTTACAATGGTGGCTCTCTTATCCTCAGTTTCTGAAATCTTTTCAGAGTCATAAAGGAGAAATGGATA